GATTCATATGTGAAGTAACGCTTAATTAGACATTATTATGCATTTATTAAACGATTATTCAAGTGTGGAAAATTAACCCGAAAATAAGAGAGACGGGGGGGAGGGAGGGGGGTTAGGTGTTAGGTGTTATAGTTATTCTTTTAGTAATGATTGTTTTCATTCTTTCTGACGTTGCGCACCCTACTACACAGATATTAGAAAATGTACTACATATAATATATATATATACATGTCGTTACATGGGATTCGAACCATGGACCTTCCCGATCACCAGCCGCTTGTCTTGTAATCTGAGCTATTCTCAATAATCAATAAAAGCTTGCTTGAAAATGAATACCTATCAGCACTCCTGATCGCAAGTCTAGCTCCTTCAAGGCCCTGTGGGAATGATTAATTCATTGATCGTTGTTTTACATGAGACCAATGCTACCTACCTCTTCACCTCTCCAATTCTAAGGACAGGATGCTCGATTATTTTTTAAACTAGATAAATGCATTCATTGTCGTGAGTCATTTGATCGATGATTACTATTTAAATTAATGATGCGTAGAACACAAATATAAAAAGAGGGTTGAACTTGGGATTGAACTCACGACCTTCTACTTGTAAAGCGAAAGCGGTAACCACTACTTCACCTGATTTGTCCTACTGCTGAATACTAAATCTAGGTCAAAACTTCTTGAAATCAATGGTTTGGTAATGTTTTTGTCGAAATTCACCGCTACCCGTTGCTGGTGTAAGAGTTGGCGTATTTCGACAAAAAAAAAACACATCGTAGCATGCCTCTACCTGTTGGAGACTGAATGGTTAGGTAAATTATGACATGGCAGTGGATACTTGCTGATTTTTAGTACCTATTGATTAGTATATAACTCGTAGATAAAAGATGGATTCTTCAGTGGTGTTGAGTACTTGGCACTGATGAAGTCTGCAAGTAGTAGACGAAATACGCGTATCTTTCATTTATTTATTTATTCCTTCGTCTTCGATATACTCGTTCAGACTGCAACTTAATCTAAATTTCTAATTCTAGTACTAAACACATTTTTGCTAATGTTAAAGTCAAACTGATCATAAACAGTGTTGAAAGCACGTATACAGGTACTCAGAGGGTTGTTATGTCCATAGCTTGTTCTGTGATGAGGTACGTAAAGCGCAGCGTGAGTTCGAAGTGAACGAGATGGAGCGTTGAAGTTGACAAGCTGACGCAGCGCAGGGCAGTCGATGCGATCCGTAAGAATGTCGAAGATGAAGATACGCTGCAATTTCAGGCGTCTGGCAGACAGCGTTTCCAAGTCAAGTAATAAGCAGCGTGAGGTATATGGAGGCAGGTGTGTTTCATTGTTCCATGGTAGGTGGCGGAGAGCAAACCGAACGAAGTATTTCTGAACTCGTTCTAATTTGCTGGCTAGTGTAGATTGATACGGTGTCCAAACAGGTGCGACGTATTCAAGTATGCTTCGTACCAATGAGCAAAATAACGCCTTCAAAGCATAAGCGTCGGTGATGAAGGCTGCATGGCGTCGAATGTATCCTAGGACAGCAAAGGCCTTTGCAGCTGTTGTAGAGATTTGTTCGTTGAATCTCAGTTTGCTGTCCAATATAACACCTAAGTCACGAATAGAATCTACACGTTCCAGGGTAGAGGGCCCGATCTTATAGCTGTATTTCAACACAGTGCGGCAACGTGTGAATGAAATCGCTTTACATTTTTTTATGTTAACGTTCATCCCGTTCTCTTCGCACCATTTCAACAATTCGTCAATGTCGTTTTGTATGGCAGCACAGTCCAAGACCGATGCAATTACCCTGAATAGTTTAAAATCGTCTGCGAAGAAAGATTTGCCAGACGATAAGCGGAGACCAAGGTCATTGATGTACAGAATGAAAATAAGTGGTCCTAGCACACTTCCTTGAGGTACTCCAGAGGTTACGTCGAAAACTGATGACTCTTCAGTCTCGATTTGAACAAAAGCTTTGCGATTTGTTAGATAAGATTTGAGCCACTCAATGATCCAAATCGGGAAGCCCATGTGCAGAAGTTTCTCAGTGATATGGATGTGTGGTACGGTGTCAAATGCTTTAGAGAAGTCCACGTAGACTGAGTCAACCTGACTACGAGCCTCGACTTCGTGGAACAGAGTGTTTGTGTAGCACATCAAATTGGTCGTTGTTGATCGCCGTTCCACGAAACCATGCTGGAACTCGCATATTAACGGTCTAGATGCATTGTACAAAAACTGGTGCACCAGTTTCTCGAAAACCTTACCGAGGCAGCAAAGTATCGAAATGCCTCTGTAATTTTCTACTCGATTTAGATTGCCAGTTTTGTGGATTGGCACCATTTTAGCAGTTTTCCACATGGTTGGAAATTCACCTTTTGATAGCGATTGGTTAAATATCAAGGTTACGGGCGTCACTAGTTTTAATGCACAAGCTTTGATAATGGAAGGAGGCAATCCGTCTACACCTGCTCCCTTCGAAACATCCAGGTCGTTCAATAATTTCAGTACCTCCTCTGGAGAGATACATACAGTAGGCAGGTTCACGTCGTACGATGGCACTCGCTGGAAACTTCCGGGAAGAGGAATCGGTGGAGAAGTACTGAACACACTTTTGAGAAAGTCAGCGAATAGAGTTGCAGATTCACTAGGTGTTGCAGCTGTCACTCCTTCATATTCGACATTGCAGGGAATGCGTTTGTTTGCTTTGCTGTCCCTGACGAACTTCCAGAACGATGCGGGGTTCTGCTTCAAGTTTGACTGGAGATTGTTGACGTATGCTTCATAGGTCGATGCAAGGAGTTCGTTGTAGCTGCTTTCGATGTTACGGAGGTTGTTCTTGTTCTCGTCTGATCTCACACTGAAAAAACGATTACGAGCCTTACGAAGCCTGTTGCGTTGTTGACGTAATTCCCCTGTCCACCAGGGTTTTCTGTTTACCGCGTTGGAAGTGCAGTGACGGCGAGGAACAACCTTGTCAAAGATCCTGTGCAGTTTATCATAGAAAACGGACACAGTTTCGTCTATCGAGGGTCGATTCAACAGTGAGAGCCAATCAACAGCCGAAAGTTCGTTATTCACTAGGTTTACGTCACATCTTCTGAAGTCTAGATAGGTTACACCCATTTGAGCGCTGGCGTGATTCCTCGTAGTGTAATGAGTATCGAGTCGTAGGAGAAATGGCTTGTGATGGGGGTCAATTTTCAGGAGCGGAACTGGAGGGTCAATTAGCTCAATATAGTCCGGAGCGTTAGCGAATGCAAGATCGAGAGTCCTGCCATTGACGTTCACTAAAGAGTTGATCTGAACCAAACCCCATGCAAATATCGGCTCGGTAAGCGCAAGTTCTTGTTCTGTTGAGGCGTTTGATGGTAAATGACCATTGATATCGCCATCGAAGCGCCAGCAGAGTCCGGGAAGATTATAGTCGCCTAACGCTAGAACAACGTCATCGTCTTGAAGTTTATCGCAAACCTTTCGGATTGCGTCGGCGTGAGCAGAGTACATTTCAGGACTGGAATTTGGTCGAAGGTTTTTTAGTTGTAACCGCACAACGGTCTGCTCAAGCTGCTCACAGTCGGCCACTGATACTGCGCAGCACTGATGACTCGTTTTGACGGCGATTAGTACACCACCACCCCTCGATAGTTGGCTCGTATCTGTCAAAAGATAAGCAATTATAACGGAATTTAAAGGAAATAAACCAACCCACTCAAAGCTCTTCATAAAGGGATTCCGTTAAGAGGTTCGACAAATTTAAAGGATTTATTAGACGTCTAATAAAGTATGTTATTAAATCAATTGAAAACAGTCGAATTAAAGCGTCACTATATGTGCAAATTACACTTATCCAGTTTGTTATTAGATCAAACATCTCTGGAAGACAGCCAAGACAGTCAATAAATGTTAAAACAGCTTTTAATAAGAAAATTATTCAGATCACAGCATCGATGAGCTTTTTTCAGCACATAATTTGACTACTCGTTTTATTCAGCATTGTACACTGTTGTACAGCATTTATTCAATATATATACTTATTTGTGGCTCTGAATTGTTTGTTGGGTTGTGCGGATTGCTTCATGTGGGCTTTCACGGACCTTTTAAGAAACTTTAAAGTTGCTAAGAAGTTCCGAACAAGAACTTTGTTGTGGCCATGTTTTCAGCCTTGCTTGAAGTTCCTAAGAAGTGCTTAGTGATGCTTTTGGGAACTTTTTTGAATTTCAAGTTCGCATCGGAACCTTTTTGGAGCCTGAAGTTCCTCGTGTGCTTTTGATAGCATTTAAAGTAGCCAGAAAGTTGTATTGGAACTTTACTGAACTTGAAAGTGGGTTTTATCGTTGAATGCGGATCTTTTGGTTACTTTGGAATGGCTATCGAACGTACAACCGTTTTCTGTACAAGAAGTACTCAAAACGTATGAAGACCAATCTCTGGCGCAATGTTAAGCTATTCTGGACGTTTGTGAAGGAATCAGAGATGCTCCCAGTGACGCGCTTAGTTTTGATATTTTCACGGTCACACTCTCCGCTTTCAAAGCTGTTCAATATTTCATTACAACTAGGTGTATTTCTTTCGTGTTGGAAATCTTCGGTCATGTTTCCGATTTTCAAGAAAGGAGACAAGCGAAATGTGGAGAATTACCGAGGAATTACTTCTCTTTGTACCTGAGTAATTTTCATGCACATGAAGTCAAAATTGAAATAGATAGGAAAAATCAGTTTGAAATATAGCTGAATAATTAAATCCATAAAACAGATAAATACTTTTGGTAAAAATTCGCTGTTTCACTAGTTGATTATGAAAATCTACCGTGAAAAAAATCACCGTGTGTTAGGATTTATCAATTTGTCCCGGTTCTCCCGTCGAATTCCCGGTTCGCTGGCCACCCTGAACACGTCATGATCTTTAGACCCCCAACTGACTTTCATTCGTTTCTAATTTTCATCTGGTAAAAATCGGTTAAACTAATCTGCACTCGTGAATTGTTCAAATTTCAGATAAAAATGGACAATCATCCTTTACCAATCGGCGGTAACACTGAGTTCACCGTCCCGGGCAGATTTCAGAATTTGATTCCTATCGGAATTGGTGCTCAAGGTGCAGTATGGTATGTAGAATCGTGTCCTCTTAAAGTACCTACCAATCGAAAGCCGAAAAATCTTTCCACTCACCCCTTAGCGCTGCTAACGACGTAGTCAACGGAACACAAGTGGCCATCAAGAAGCTATCGCGACCATTCCAAGACGTAACAAATGCCAAACGTGCCTACCGAGAGATCAAACTGATGCGATTAGTAGATCATCCTTTCGTTAGTATTAATTATTAATTAGTTTGTTAAGTGTCAAACATTTATTGTAGAAATTCTTATTTCACAGATCATCAAACTGCTGTTTGCCTACTCCCCGCAAACAACGCTGGACTCCTTTAGAGACATATACCTGTTCACCGAACGCATGGACACCAATCTGAGCTTTGTGATCGGCAATCCTCTGGATCACGAACGGCTATCGTTCCTGGTGTACCAGATGCTCTGTGGCATCAAGTATTTGCACTCCGCGGGCATCATCCATCGGGACCTGAAACCAACCAACATCGTAGTGCGGGCGGATTGCTCTCTGAAGATTCTAGACTTCGGATTAGCTCGTAGCGTAGGAACCAATTTCATGATGACTCAATACGTGGTAACTCGATACTATCGGGCTCCGGAAGTTATTCTCAACATGGATTACGACACGAATGTCGACATTTGGGCGATTGGCTGTATCATGGCAGAACTCATCACGGGCCAGGTGCTGCTGCCTGGAACCGATCACGTTGATCAATGGAACCGCATCATCACCACCCTGGGTACGCCATCGATGGAATTTGTATCACAAACTTCTGAATCCGCACGGAGATACATCGAGAATCTTCCCGTCCATCCGAGGCCTTCGTTCGATGAGCTCTTCCCAGATGCCGTATTCCCAACGGCAACCGGTTCACCGGAGCTTAACAACCGCAACGCTCGGCATATGCTCGAGCGGATGCTAGCGATAGATCCAAATGACCGAATAACCGTTGTGGAAGCACTTGCTCATCCCTACGTACGGTGCTGGTTCCAGGATGACGAAGTAAACCGACCGATTCCGGTGCCATATGAGCATGCCTTGGACGAACAAGATCTCAGCTTAGAACAGTGGAAGGAACTGTTATTCAAGGAAGTTAGTGAGATTCAACGGCTGACGCTCGAAAACTAAACGGACAATTGAGGCTGAACAAAACAAAAATGTTAGGGTTAAAGTTAGTGTTACGTTCCCTGGAACTATTTTATGAATGATAGTTTTATCATGTTATGGCTGTTTGTTGAATCCATTTAGGCATAACGTGCTCGAGTAGATTTTTTTTTTCTATGTTGAAGTTTATACATATGTTAGACAAGTTATACCACACGTACCAATCAAACATGTACAAATTTAGGAACCAATAAATTTTAAAACTTAAGAAAGGCAACCGAATGTTTTGCTTATAATTACGATTTATTATACCGAAAAATCTTATTCGAAAAGAAAATCATTATTGTAAAGGTTAGCAAAATGGAAAAATTGTCCTTTGTGGTAGTTTTATAGAACTTCGATATTATAGTCGTTCTGTTTGTCTCCGTCTGTATTTACATCTAAAGATCCTATAACAACTAAACACTAGACGCTTCACAACGGGTAGACTCTTGCTGGGTGGAATATTTACATCCTCCTTAGCATCCATCTACTGGAAATGCTTCCTCAAAATCATACAAAAAAGAGAGAGAGAAACATGGAATACCTCTAGATTAATAAGTTAAGCTACCAACGACACAATCCCCTCATACGATAGGCGCCACTGTCCGGTCGAATCCGTCGAAATACTTGTGCTCGAGAATATTCTTCGCCGAAATCCGGTGAACTGGGTCGTAGATCAAACACTTCTGCAGCAAATCCAGACCCGCAGATTCGAGATTTTTTACCTGACCGGCCAGATTGTTCTGTGTCCAGCATGGAAACGTCGGTTTGTAGTCTGGAAGAGAGGTAACCCCCGGCCAAATTTCCTCCGTCGGAGTCTTCAAGATCCGGAACATACGGAAGAGTTGATCGATCTCCGAGTCTCCCTGGAACAGTGGCTTGCGTGTGGTCATTTCGGCAAAAATGCAACCAATGGACCAAACATCCACAGGGCATGCATACCGGGGAGATCCCAACAGGACTTCCGGTGCACGGTACCACAACGTAACGATCTCATGGGTGTAATTACGGACCGGAATGTTAAACGAACGACCCAATCCAAAGTCCGCCACCTTAATCAGTCCCTCTTTGTTGATCAGCAGATTCTGCGGTTTTAGATCCCGATGCAGCACTCGTCTTCTGTGGCAAAACAACAGCGCAGCCGTAATTTGGTACATGTAGCTTTTCACCAAATCGGAATCCATCATCTTCTCCGGAGGCAACGTGTCCATGTACTTTTTCAGATCCATCGACAAAAACTCAAAAATCAAATACAATCGATTCTCCTCCATCAGGACGTCTTCCAGCGAAACGATGTTGGGATGTTTTAGTTCCTTTAGCAAAGAAATCTCGCTGCAAAGAAGACAATACAAATCAACCGTTAACACCAACACATTCGCAAATTATTTCACTCACCGAATGGCAGTTGAAGGGATTCCCTCATCTTCCGATTCCAAGCGGATTTTCTTCATGGCCACAATCTGTCCGGTCACTTTATTACGACCCTTGTAAACCACCCCATACGTCCCTTCACCGATTTTTTCTATTTTCTGGAAATCCTCCATCCCGAATCCTGGGTTCCTGAGGGCGAAAAATAGGTTAAGGTCAATCACCAATCAAAACGCAACCAACGGCAAAATATAGCACAAAATTAGCATCACAAACCCAACAATTCGAATCGAACCCACTTACCGCAGAAATTGACGTTAATTTTACGAAATTTTACACAAAAATGCACAGAAATAATATCCAGTAAACAAATTTCTAGCGGGATTTTTGTCAGTTTCAAGTTCGTTATGCTGTGGAGTGGACGTTTGATGTTTGAACGAAGAAAGTAAATTTGAACCGCGCCGACTGCTGCGTGACAGATAATATATAAGGAAAACGATGGGACCCATGGGCGATGTTTTATGTTGCACGCACTCGACGCTAAAGAAACAACCCGTCGCTGAAAAACGGACACGCTAAGATCAGAGAATCCATATATAGATTAAGTTTACCCAGATTGGGCGGTAAAGGGCTTCATCGAATTGTACGTAACGCAAAAAAAAAATGGCAAAAGGGGCTCTCAACTTGGGTATTTTCGATTCATCTACCCGACTTGAAATGGTGTATTATGTATTTTTTTTTTTTCGTATATATGGATTTTTAAGTTTTGCGTATTTTTGTATTAAAGTGTATTCAATTCATTATGAAATTTATTTTTCGAGTACAAAGCATTTTAGAGGTATTTTTGAGTATTTTTACTATGGTACACTGGAGTCGCTTTTTACGCGGATGATACGTCCCGCGTAAAAAAAAAAACCGCGTAAAAAACCGCGTAAATTCCGAAATCCACGTAAAAAAAAACCGCGTAAAAAAAGACCGTGTAAAAAAAACCGCATAAAAAGCGACTCTAGTGTATAATGATAAACCGCGTAAAAAGCGACTCTAGTGTATAATGATAAACCGCGTAATTTCTGATATCCGCGTAAAAAAAAACCAAAATCCGCGTAAAAAAAAACCGCGTAAATTCCGGAATCCACGTAAAAAAACCGCGTAAATTCCGAAATCCGCGTAAAAAAAACCGCGTAAAAAAACCGTGTACAAAAAAAACCGCGTAAAAAGCGACTCCAGTGTATTTTAGTTTCAAGGTGTACACATTTACGTATTTTTGTGTGTTTTTTCCACCAACACCCTTATAACTAATCGAGACATTCATAACCCACACCCCCACTCCCAGCCGTAACGGGTAACAATGCGTTATTATAAAAGAGTAAAATAATTTTGATTTGCTAGTGCACACACAGGCGTAAACGTAACTACTACACGCAGAAACAACAAGGAGATGAAAAACTACTCAAAATTAAGTACTTTCCCCTCAATTCATGGGTTCAGCCCAATAACTCAAATTTGGTTAAATTGCATATAGTAGTTTCTATTTAACACCAGCAAAAATTACTTACTCTTAAATATATTCTACCCAAAATTAAGCTTCATTCACGTAAATTTTAGAATCTGCAATTTACTCAAAAGTAACTTATTGGGCTGAACTATATCATTGGGTCCAATCTCTCGTCCCTTTTTTGACAACAAGAACGAGTGCAAGTGAGACGCTGAATTCAAAATTTAGGGGGTTCTACCTGCAAATTTTGTTACGGAGTTCGTTTACAATTCACATGTACTCAAATAGAAGCAATTAAAACAGGTTCCACTAAAAATACTAACAATACAGGCAATGAAAAAAAAAATCTGGTACATCAAAGTTATGTAGGGTTTTGAACGAGATCGGAGCTCCACCGTAGGAGGGGTAATCCCCCGTCCGGCAGAAATGTCCCGTCAGCCAAAAGAATGTTTAAAGGACCTAAATGTTGTTGTATAGCCCAGCGTCCTTAAGGAAATAAATAACTGTCGCTAAAATGGAAGGTTCGTCGCTCAGTATGTACCTAATGCTGTTAGGAAGTGCGTACTGCTCCCGTAGTTGTTGGTATTGTGGACACAGCTATAGGATGTGTTCCACCGATGCAGTGGTTCTGCAAACGTAGCACATTCTGTGGAACTGCGTCCCACCAAAACTATGTGAGATCCTTGTATGGCCTGTCCTAAGACGAGAAACCACGTTCTGGTCCCGTAGCCAGGCTGTCGGCTTCGCTATTTCCTGGGATACCGCAGTGCCCAGGGATCCAGAAAAACATCGTGTTCGGAGGTGTGGCCTCCACAATACCCTGTATCCAGGGGTGAGTCAGGGTCTCAGATATAAGGGCTTGTATCACGCTGTACGAATCGGATAGCACCAGTATGGGCCGGTCCGAGGGTGTTGTAACAGCAACAAAGATGGCTGCAGCTTCGGCGGAGAAAACCGAGCATTGTGGTGGTAGACTGATACTCATCGGTGCTGAAATCATGGTTTGGGTACCCAACTAACAATGTTCACAATGTAAACGCTTTACTCATTTCATTTATACAGCCTCAAGCTGTAATCAAACGTTATAGGATATGAGGAAACCTTTACTCAACCTCTATACAAGCAAATCTGGCGATCTTAGTCAGCTGATTTTGGTTGTTGGGACAGTTAGGACAAGCTCTTATTGCATATCCATTAACGCTTCTATACAGTTGTTATCCTGCTGTTTAGTTGTGTGTCAACTTGAAATCAAGAACAACATGTGAAAAGGGCATACAAGCTTTTTGTAAACAAACCTTCTTATGCCCTTTTCTCGCCACTCATATGACACCAACGCAAACCCTTAACATTAGCGGGTAGGGGAAGCTTTCCCCTTCCCGATGATGTTGTTGGTTTGCGTGAGCGACCGTCGGTTGGCGAGAAAAGGGCCTACAAAGATTTGTTTACAAAAAGCTTGTATGCCCTTTTCACATGTGGCGCTTGAAATGTGCTTTCCTGGTTATCCAATAATCACTACACAGCTTTCTTTTGAAGCCGGGTTAAATACTGTTTACGATTTTTTTTATGGAGGAATTTATTGAGTTTATTTTGCTGTCAATCAAATTAATCGAAATTAGTTACAACCCGAAAAAAAATAACAACAAAAATACAATAAAAAACAATGTAACAATAAGACGAAAATTATTGTCTTAACAATGATTTATATTGTTACGTCTACAATAAATTTACCTTGATTTATGTTGTACAAAACAGCAAATTTCATGGTAAGTGGAAAATTTACAATAAAAAAGGGGGGTTGTTAAGTATCTTAACAATGAAATTTTCGTGATTTCCCCATATAATGTTTTTTCAATAACATTATATATTATTGTTATTTTACTGTTGGTTGGCGAGTTTATTGATTGAAAAAAATAACAGTGTACTTTAGAGTGTATGTGTTGGCTTGACAGATCTACTTTATCGACTTTAAAAATAAATCAAAAAATAAAACATCGCCCCGGGAAGGGAAGGGGGTGGTATGTCTGTTACGGGTGAGTCCTTTTTTTACTGGTTATGGATTGAGATTCGATCCGGAACTTGTGAGAAATGGAGGCCAACTCCCTTGCACTCGATCTCTCTAGGTCACGTCTCCTTGGTGGTTGAGCGTCGTTGATAAGTCAATGCATTCAACTGGAGAGAATCGCCCATGAAATATGCTTCCACCTGAGAGTTATTTCCTGACATCTTCAAGTGGTGGATTTTTTTTATTATTATTGTATGATTATTGACTGCACGGAAAAGGTCTGCATTAAGCGGGATTTAGATGAGGCAGGAGAGTTGAGTTCAACTCAAACCGATCTGGTCGTAGGCGTTCAATTGACTTGGCAACGAATAGAGCCAAACGAACTGTCAAAGCAAGAGCCATACGAGCAGCGCCTATCTTGATTACATTGGCAGTGTTGCTGACCCTCTCATAGTCTGCATGCTTCAATCAGATTTATTTTTATTGTTCGTGAAGTAACCCACAGTGAAAACACACCAATATTTAATGTAACAACAATTTTTATTGTAATAGAGTTGTTCATTATTGTTCGTGATCGAATCATGTTAACAATAAAATAAATGAAAAGTACAATAAAAATCATTGTAACACCATTTTATTATGTACATTCATTGTACAGCTAGGTAGCAGTTTTGCCGTTTTCGGAAGGGTACAACATTATAACAATCATTTTTATTGTCGACAATTTTTTCGGCTTGAAGACCCATTTCGATTTGAGCGGAACCACACCAGCAGGGCATCTCACCAATCGCCAAGCATGGTTGTCCGCTAGCGACTGCAGTTCCTCACGGACCGCTTGCTGCCAAAGAGCTTCGTCGGCTCGTCCAGCGATCTCCTTGTACGCCTCCGGGATATCGAAGATCGAACGCTCGGCCTCATCTCGTCCAACGGAACCGTCAAATAGTACATCGGAAACGTTATGGGGAACATCTGCAGAATGGGATTGCGCGGCAGTGAAAATTTTTCCAACCAGAAATTCTTTCAACTTACCGGGGAGTCTGCGCTCCCGTTCGCTGCGCCTCGGGGTTTCCATTTCGAGGTTTGAACCACGGTCTAGTTGCGAAGGGAGCGCTCCGGTTTCTTCAACACCGTCGTCTTCAACCTCGCCTTCTTCATCATCAGTCAGGATGTCGTCATGTTGAGCCACCAGCGGCTCATCGGGTTGAACGGACTGTTCAGGGGTTTGCACGTCTTCCTCATCTTGATCCTCGAACTCGTACGGAGCAACAACCAAAGGAGTTTCGTCACGGATCTGGGTGGCAAACGGAAAACTGTTTTCATCGAACTTGACATCTCTGGCTAGGAATAACTGCTTCTTCTCTTTGTTCCACAGGCGGTAGGCGTTCGGCGCATAGCCGATCATCACAGCAGGCTTGCTTTTCGGATCCAGTTTCTTCCTCTGTGCCGTGGACACCCAAGCAAATGCTTTACAGCCGAACACACGTAGTTTACTAACGTCCGGCTTGTGACCAGTCCACATTTCCGCAGGAGTCTTCCAATCAGATACCGCGGTGGTTGGACTTCTGTTCGTCAGGTATACCGCCGCTAGAACCGCTTCATTCCACAGATTCTTCGGAGTTTGGGCTTCAATCAGCATCGCACGCACCTTTTCGACAATTGTCCGATTGAACCGTTCGGACACTCCATTCTGCTGTGGTGTGTACGCTGCGGTTGGCTCGACTTGGATCCCCTTGGAAACGTACCAATCACGCTGGTCATTGGAGCAATACTCGCGCCCTTGGTCGACAGTCAGCTTCGAAATCGAATGTCCCAGAGCGGCACTCGCCATGGCCTCGTACTCTCGAAACTTCTGGAACACCTCGGACTTCTTCTTGATGGGTTATACTACTGCAAAGTGCGTGTAATCATCAATAAAGGTGACGAAGTACCGAGAATCATCCCAAGCCGCTGGTGTAATTGGACCGCACACATCGGAGTGCACTCGTTCTAGAGGTCTTGTAGCACGGACTCTAGTACCCGTGAATGGTTCTCGGCACTGCTTTCCGAGAACACAAACATCACAAAAATCCAATTTATCTGGTTTCTCGGGAATACCTGTTACCATGCCATGCTTCGCGAGTGTCTGCAAACTCTTGCTCCCCAAGTGAGCCAGTCGACGATGCCACAGGTTACCAGTCACAGCTCCACACATGTTGGCCGCCACCGTATCGACACGGAGATCGAGCTCGTAAAAATCGCCCCGCATGGGACATCTCGCAATCAGGTCACGACCTTGCTTCATGATCGCTTCCTTTTTCGTGAATGTGACATCAAGATCCGCTTTTGCCATCTTCTTCACAGATAGCAAGTTCGCTCGAAGATCTGGTACGAAGAGGACGTTCTTCAAGCTGATATAGTTACCTTCCTTGTTGACGCCGTTGATCGTGCCACTGTGCCGGGAAATCAGGGATTGATCATCCTTCGCCACGTTTATGACGACAGGGTGCTTCAGCTTCGTGAGGTCGGCGAAACAGTGCTTCACATTCACAAGGTGGTCCGAGGCTCCGGAATCCAGCTTAAAGGAAACTGCTCCCTCGTCCTTTGTTTGGGAGCATATCCCGGTCATAAAAGCCACCGCCTTACCTCCAGCAGCAGCGTTAGCTTCAGCGCGCCCATCTGTCTTCAACTTCACACGACAGTCCTTGGCCTTGTGCCCCTTTTTCTGGCAACGGTTACACTTTCCGGTGAACTTACCAGGCTTCTGCTTCGATCCTTGGAATGCTGCAGGTTTCTCTTGGCAGGAATCCGCTGCCCGGTCGGTTTTCTTGAGCTCCTCGGCAAGAAGGCGCTCGCGAACAACATCCAGTTTTAGGTTTTCCTCACCTAGATTTTCCAGTGCCGTAACCAACGGATCGAACGACTCGGGAAGGGTAGCAAACAGCTGGGACACAATATCGTTCTCTTCAAGCTTCGCTCCGGCCAGCTTCAGTTGTCGGATCAGCTCTTCGAAGGTTTTCAGGTGATCTTTCACAGACGAACCTTCCATCATTCGTAGCTTCGCAAGTTGCTTCCTGACGAATGTCTGCGACGAGACGGACTTCTTGGCGTAGGCGGATTCAAGGCTCATCCACATCTCCTTGGACGTCTCCTTGTCCCGCACCAAATGCAGCAAATCGTCATGAACAAATGACGTCAGCAGGAACGCCGCCTTACCGTCATCTTCCTGGAACTTCGTGAGCTCGGCCGCTTCCATCGGAGGATCCTTCTTGATGATATCCAACAGCTTCACGGACTTCAGATACTTCTCCACTCGAAATTGCCAATTGTCGAAACCGGTGCCCGAGAACTGCGGGATCCCGTGGACCAAATCCTTGCGTGAGTCGCCCATAACCTCTTGATTGTTAGAAAGAACCGGAACAGCAAAGTTTAAAAGTAGAATGGATTTTATTTAACGACTAGCTTGAGTGGAGTCTTGAACAGGAATGAAAAGTTTTTCACCGTTGTTTATTTAAGAAAACTTAGGTTGCTAGGGGTGACGTTCGGTCTCCAAGGAGGTGATCAGCACACTGCGTTACCGATTTACTCTAACAGAACCAAATGAACTGTCAAAATCAGAGCCAAACGAACATTCCCATTAGAATTCTTCCGATATTTTCTTATTCTTACTAGATTAAATTTGAGAGTATTGCAATCGAACAGAAATTCAATCACCTCTATTTATCGTATGATCCTCAAGTTCAACTAGTTTTTATAATCAATTATAATATTCTAACTCTATTGATTAATTAATCTTAATTGGATAATTAATGGCATTGCGATGCACTCAATTATTATTTTGCACGTACATTGGATATAGCAAGGGTTGCAAGATAATGTAGGTACAAATCCCTGCTGCCGAATTGAATTTTGTTTTCTCCGCCCATCTCTCCCTCTGAGTATTTCTATAGTTTTGAGGAGCCTTAAAAAAGTGTGTAACCGTGTTTTGTTTTCACAACCGGGTAATAATTCTATGTTTTAGTGTTCCAAACGCGCCGCTTCAGTTTGCGATGTTTATAGGATGCGAAACTGACACATTGCTGCCTTGAGCATAAACTATGTAAACAGAAGCATAAAAATGCAGACTCCGATATACAAATTCGACCCGGAAGATTACGACAATGTTTACGAACCGGCCGAGGACAGCTTCCTCCTGTTGGACGCACTGGAGGATGATCTGGAAGCGATCAAGCTACGGCAGCCCTTGATATGCGTCGAAATCGGACCGGGCAGCGGAATCGTAGTTACTGCACTGGCGAGAGCCCTCGGAATCGGTAACAGCCACTGTTTGGGGGTTGATATAAATCCTCATGCCTGTCGGATGACCCAGCGGACCAGTCGGTTGAATTGTTGTCCGGTTGAGGTACTAAATATGGATCTACTGGCAGGATTTAGGGACGGGAGCGTTGATTTGCTGGTGTTTAATCCGCCTTATGTTCCGACATCCGGTGAAGCCGGCCAAGAGCTGGAAGAACAGATTGGGGAATTTAGCGAAGAGAGACACAACTTGGTTAAATCCTGGGCTGGTGGATTGGACGGGATGGTAGTAACTAAGAGGGTTTTGAGGGATTTACAAAGAATTATATCCAAGGATGGCGTGTTTTACCTTCTGTTAGTGAAGGAAAATAAACCGTTGGACGTCATCAGATTGCTGGAGAAGAATGGTTTTACCGGGGAAATTCTTAAAGAGAGGAAAATCAGGGGTGAGCATTTGTTTGTGATAAAAATAAGTAGAAAATAAAATTATTGTTTTATCGATTTTATTGTTTTCATTTTCACTGTAAAGTATTTATTACATTGTAGAAAGATTTTTGTAACGTTGTATATACACTTAACATACAGAAAAATAAAAAAAGCTTTTACACAAGAAAAGAAAATTACTTTTTACCTTTTGGATTTAATACCATTTTCTAAGATAATGATGTAGATTATTTTACATGCTTTCGAATCGTATAGCTTTATATGCAGTTTATGTGGTTTGTTAATTAATTATTCCTTCGAATGTACACATACTTGATTTACTTCCACAAATATACAAATATTATTCGGTTTTGTAACATTGAACAACAACTAATAAAAACATAAATTAGGTAGCGTTAAAATTTGAAATCCGTTTAACTTATTTCGTCAAAATTAAGGTTCTTTATGTTTTAAGACAGAATAAATTAAATATTCGCATCTCCATAGCAACCAGCTTTGATTTGTCTTTTTCACATTCCTATGGATGCTTGGACCTTGAGAGCATGTGATACTACAGTTGGAGCTCATGGCACGTTGTGATGGTTAGTTCACCTCTCGTGGATTTGCTGGAGGAATTTAGCTAAATTGAACTCAAACCGATACGCCATCGTAAATGTATGTTTTTTTATTTTTATTTTTTATAACAAATGATAATAATTTGTCCGTTACTTCGCATGTATCGAGAAGAAATGTTTTGACTGTTTCGAATGGCATTTCCCTGCTACGATAGAGAAGGTATTACATTTATTTTACGGAGATTGGTGTACTTTTTGTTTGTTTGCTGCTGAATTTGGCATAAGCTACTTCCTACTGTGTATAATATTGGTGCGCATGACAACATCGATACTCTATAATATTCAATAGGTTTCACAAACGGAAGGAGACATACAAAGTTCTTTTTTTTTTTTATCAATCTATAAATTGTAAAAATCGGTACTACTAGCTACAATCTCACTTCTAAAATTGTTCCAAAAACTTGCTCCGCGAGCTGCATGTATCTGTATAAAGCAAAAATCAAGTCTTATTCGTGTATCAATCAATCTTCTGGCTTTCGAAAGCTCAATTTACAGTTTTCTTCAATATACTCAGTAAAAAATGAATTGTCCAAAACAATAGTAAAAGGCACAAAATTAGCCTTCACACTATAATAGTCTTAATACGAGCAGCTTTATTATTTCTCAGTTGACTTACACATGTATTCATTTTTCTTTTAATTTTTTTTTTAATGAAAGTTTCCTAGCCAATAAGCAGAACGTCCATAACGGTAGCCGATCGTTGGTTAATCAATCAACTGTGAGTCCTCGAGTGGGATATGAATGGAGGGGGGAATGATGATGAGTATACTGTAATATTTCCTGCGTTACTTCTTCTTTGTGCGTAAATGCTGATTTATGTATTTTTTTTATTATGTATCCCGTCAGTGGTAATACCATTCGGTTATTATAATTTCCTTCTCCATTTGTTTATCGGATTTTCGTCTACTGCTAGTAGTTAGCAATTTGGTGATTATTTACAAGTCACTACACGGTCTTATACCGGAAAAAAAAGTTCGTTTTGTTGCAGATTTTCATTTCGATTTCGTTATACACTTATGATGAAATAGATTCTCATGATTTGTTGTTTGTTTCATATTTGTTCTCGTTTTCTGATTAGTTAAAATTATTTTTTGGTTTCATTAGATTGTAGTTGTATGTTGATGTATGCGTGGATGTTTCTGCCTCAATTCAATACGGTGTATCTAGATCGGAGAAGGTCATATGCTGCGTTTAATCAGGGTTTACTTTTTCCTGTTTGAAAAAAGTAATGAAATCGAGCCTGAACTGACACCGTGGATTCCGTCAATTTGACCGATTCATCTTGCAAATTACCGGGGATTATTTTTAATTTGGATTACCGTATAAAGAGAGAGAGAGAGAAGGATTAGTAATTTCCATTTAATTCAACTACCTTATTTGCTTATCCTTGACAGATACGCGTATTTCGTGTACAATGTGCAGACTTCTTCAATGTCTTGTCGCGTATTAGTACAAGATACTGAAGAAGTCTGCACATTGTAGACGAAATACGCGTATTTGTCAAGGATAAGCAAATAAGGTAGCATTAGCATTAGCATCGAACAAGTTGCACAATATCGTAGATGGTACGAATTCAAAACTATTAAGAGCAAGACGGATATCTATTACTGGACTGATAGTAAGTAGGAAATAATTACTATCTCCCAGATAAAGACATATCGCGCTCCAACAGTTAAGGATTGTCCTGGCCACGTCCTTACAACTGGTAGGGATAGGAAAGGTATGTTAGTCCAACATTTACTTAAATGGAAATTACTAATCCTTCACTCTCTCTCTTTATACAGGTGTTCCACAAAGACACCCACATTAATCAGGATTGAATAACCGGTAATCCTACATATGTGAGTAAAGATTAATCGTTCAAATACGGTTCACGGTATTGCCTAAATATTGGTTTCAAAAAGTAAATGCTATATGTGGATTGGAAAAGACAACCCTGGTTGTAAAGTTAATCGGTTTGGAAAGATACATTTCAGGTAGGAGATTTTAAGGTTAACTGTGTATTTGAGATTGAAAACTGATTATGTATAAAAGGGATCATTCGATACAGATACGGCAGAGAAATTGGTTGTAGAAATATAAATGGTGTTGAGTACTTGGCACCAAGGTTGCAAAGACTCATTTCAGCTAAAATAATGTTTTTCGGAATAATAAAACCAAAAGATGGTATGATGGCATGTTTTACTTGTAACTTACAAGAATAGGTTACAAAGTATGCGTTGGAAACATAAAACCTGTAAATTTTGCTTTCTATGAGTCACAATCAGCGATTTGCTGATCGCTGAGTGAGTGAGTGAGTGAGTGAGTGAGTTTGTGAAAAATCGCTGATTGTGACTCTCATGAAGTGAAATAAACAGGTTTAATATGTCAAACACATTCTTTGCAACCTCTTCTTGTATCCTACCAATTCAAAATTTGATCATGGCATCTAATTATTTCATAATTTAGAAAAACATTGTTTTAGCTGAAATGAGTCTTTGCAACCTTGCTTGGCACTGATGAAGTCTGCAAGTAGTAGACGAAATACGCGTATCTGTCAAAAGATAAGCAATTATAACGGAATTGAAAGGAAATAAACCAACACACTCAAAGCTCTTCATAAAGGGATTCCGTTAAGAGGTTCGACAAATTTAAAAGATAAATAATACCTTTTCTTTTGTAAGTTAACGAGATTGCAAGACTGCTTACTAATAGCTCTATCCATACAATTTGTACCCAACGCACTATGGGCAAAAATGGGTCCAAAATTACCCAAAATTCAATATCTCAACAGCACGCTGAATTCCGGCCATGAAAAACGACTTTTCCGAAGGGAAATCGTCCGGGGAATCGATTGCACGTGGTCTCATAGACCGGAAAGCCTCGTAGGTATGTGTTTTGGACCATTTTACCCCATTTTACCCTACTTTTTGGAGGAAATGTTTTTTCACAGCTCTATTTTTCGTAAAACATAAGCACTTTATGCATGGTTTTAGAATAATATGTCTTTAAACAACAGTTCATGAGATATTAGAAGAATACGGGGTACACTTTATAGGGGAGTAAGGGGTAAAAGTGAACCCACGCTAAATTTATTTTGATTCATAAAAATATTGAACGATGCGATTGTATAAATGACCCCAAAGGTTGCCTGCAATAATAAGATTTTTTTTTTCGAAATTTTAAGGTTAATTGGGATTAAATAAGTTTTAATTTACTGCTATCTGTTTTAAAAGAGTTTTCACTTTTTTTCTGTATACAGCAAAACGATATAGTGGTTCTAAGAATTTTGTAAAAATTGGTAGTTTTGTTCCTTATCGCAACATATTAGACCCGATTTTTTTTATTTTGTCAAATACACTATTTATATATTAGGCGGTCAAAAAAATTTTTTTTTTCCATTTTTTTTTCAAAAAATTATAATTTTTGAACTGTTTGGCCGATGACGGAACTCAAAATACCAAATGAAAGTTAATTAAAAGTATTTTTCAGAAAAAAAAAATTCTGATATTAAAAAAAAATGGATTTTGTATTAAAAAACATTGATTGCATTTTCACTTTTACCCCTTACTACCCTATAAAGTGTACCCCGTATTCTCCTAATATCTCATGAACTGTTGTTTAAAGACATAGTATTCTAAAACCATGCAAAAAGTGCTTGAGTTTTACGAAAAATAGAGCTGTGAAAAAACATTTCCTCTAAAAAGTAAGGGGAAAATGGGGTAAAATGGTCCAAAACACATACCCAAAAGACTCTCCGGTCTATGTGACCACGTGCAACGATTTCCCAGACGATTTCCCTTCGGAAAAGTCGTTTTTCATGGCCGGAATTCAGCGTGCTGTTGAGATATTGAATTTTGGGTAATTTTGGACCCATTTTTGCCCATAGTGCAACGCTAGGTAATGTGGTGTTTACATATACGCTGGTTCACTAACGCTAGTGTACTAGAACTGTACACTGAACCAATAAGGAACGTAAATTTCACCTGAAAATTCAGGTAACTTCTCAAAAATAGCAATCCAATAAAAAGCACCTAATGCATATGAAATTCAATGACATGGTAATAAATTCCATTAGATTGACTGGTCGAAGTCAAGTGTCATAACTGGTGAATGTTAAGTGAAATTCACGTAAATTGTACGTGATCTCTTGGTGTGAAAATTATCGTTGCATATTTGTTAGTTCAAAATGACGACAGAAAGAAGTGTGAGTTCGTTGTTGTTGTTAGGTGATTTGGGATTACCAGACGGTCTTTTTGAAGTTTTTGAGCGTAAGTGTAATTAATTTATAATTGAATATTCTATAATTCATTGTACTATGAATTGTAGAGTGTGGAATCGGATTATTTGAGCTCCTCACAAGCTCATACAAAGACCTACAGGAGTGCTTACAACAAGCGGACGTAAATTGGAATTATGATGTCCTCTTCTAGCTTATCATTTCCTGGCGAAACAGAAATGTAAGTGTCTAAATTTTATGATTTTACAATAAACCCATTGCAAATTTCCGTTTTTTATACAGAAAGCAGCGATTATAAGTGCCTTGGTCAGCAACGGAGGCACATAGAGCAACAATAATATCACCCAAAATTCCAAGCCTTGAGAGTATTCCCGGAAGTGAATCTCTTTGTGACACCCTAGAAGTCGTTCCCGGAGCTGAACATCGTACACCGTATTAACGGTCTTTATATGTATAGAATTAAGAATAGGTTTGATACAGATTAAGAACTAAGAAATAAACTAAGAATGAAGCAAAAATCCAACTAATGAAGTTAACTTTTATTCAAATCTACGTGAATTGTTCTTTTATGGCTTGCCTTTGGTCAAAAAGAACATTTAACTAGAATGCATTGAGGCCTGTTCTGTGCCGCGAGTGAGGTGAGGTAACAATAGTCACCTCATGTGAGGTGGCTCTCCGAGTACATCAACTTAAGAATCACCTCACATAAACTGACTTCACTAGTGACAGCGAGTCACCTCACCTCACTCGCGGCGCAGAATGGGCCTGATTATTATTTAAGATACATTTAATAAAGAAATTAACCAAAGAAATCTACCATAAATTCACATAAACATTACTGCAAAATCCAGTGAAATGTACTAGAAAATCACGTAACTTTTAAGTGAAGCCAATTTGACGTCCATCGGTACGTCCAATAAAATTTACGTGAAAATCACTTGATTTTCATATGACACATTTGAAAAAAAAAATATTCCAAAACACGTAATATTCACCTGAAAAGTTCGATGGAAAATATCTACGTACCTTTTCAGGTGAATATTACGTGAATTTTATTTGCAGTGTACTAAAAGGTAACCAGCATAATGTAAACAGGACGTCAGCATCTACCAGCATGAACTTTCAGGAACAACTGAAATTCGCGCTGGTTGGTTGAGCTGGTGGAGCTAGTTAACTAGCCTTAGTGTAAAGGACGAGGCAAAGAAAGAGTAAAAAAAAACCTTCAGTAACCCACGAACAGGCGACTCACTCCGCTTGCCTTCGTTCACATCGACGACTTCAAATCTAGACTAACATTTGAAAATGGCGTAATTCCAAAATGACCGTATTGAGAAAATCGCGTCCGAATTTTGATGACCTAAAAATTAATCCTATTTCACGACTTTCAATTTTCTGGATGATTTTATAAGCTTGACATATAGTTAATAGTGTAATCTATCATCATGCATCACTAAAAACTCAAAAAAAGTTTTCTTTGTCGAGAAATTGAGAAGAAAACATCATACGCCCTGATAAATTCTTACATCTAGACTAACATTTGAAAGGGGCGGAAGAGCCAAAATGTAAACAAACCTAATTTTCCCACATACAGAGAGAACAGTTCACACACTACTCGATAAACACGAAAAAGAAGAAGAAAATATCACTTCAAATCATCAAAAACGCTTCTTCTTACATGGCGTATTTCCAACTTTCAATTTTATGATGCATCTGGTTGTTACGCCTTGCACCAGTAGTATCTAGACACGCCCGATTCATTTGAAATGTATCCGATTGATATTTCCCGTGTAAACAACCAACACAAAGAAGACCAAAAAAAAATGTCCGGGCGTAATCACCAGTGTTGGCAGTTCAAAGGGTGGAAGATCCGGAGGGTAACAACATGCCTAGACTAACATTTGAAAAGGGCGTAACATATCGAGAAAATCGCTTCCGAATTTTGATGACCTAAAAATTAATCCTATTTCACGACTTTCCATTTTCTGGATGATTTTATAAGCTTGACAAATAGTTAATAGTGTAATCTATCATCATGCATCACTCGAGGGGCGATTCACTTGTGTATTTTCGATTCAGGCCAACGCATTGATGAACGTATTGAAGTATTTTTTATCGAATGAACGTGTATTTTGTGTAATAATGTATTTTTTGTATTTTTTGAATATATGTATTTTTTTGTGTATTATAAAAATAAAAGTGTATTTTTATGCATTAATGTATTGGAAATCAGTTATAAGTGTATTCTGCCATTTCAGTGTTTATGTTTACCACTCGAACCGAGGATCAAACGGATCAAACTCACAATGTTGACGTTTTGTTTGACAAATGCACAACACACGCTAACTTTAAAATACCCACTGATGAGTAGAATTTCACCCATTTTAAAGAAAAGAGGCACTGTTCATTAACTATGTAGACAGTTTTTTTTAGGTTTCTCCGCCCCCAAACCCTGCGTAGACAATTGTCCAGACAAAATTTTTAAAATTTGTATGGGCCGCGGATAATTGCCATACCCCCCCCCCCCTAAATTGTCTACGTAGTTTATGAACAGCCCCTTACCTCGCTCATTACGCATTAATAAGCATCTGTTACGCATTAATGAATAATCGTTACTTATTTGTGGCTCACAACTACTCAAAATGTTTTTTTTTATTTAATAAATGATTTAAGGCACTTTTCTTAAAAATGGGCGAAATTCTACTCATTAATGCATTGTTTTGTGATTCGAGCTCGGATTAAAATACAAAATAATAAATTTACGCATTTTGTTCGAATTCAGCATTTTGATTGTACATATTTTCGATTCTTTCGCCCAAATGACGAATTATCGTGTATTTTTATTATTCGTCGAATATTTTTGTATTTTTTTTCCGAATTTTGTATTTTTTTGCATTTTGTTTAGTAATGACGAGTAATGATGAATTTTTGTGTATTTTTTTAATAAACGTATTTTCGATTCATTCTTGAGGGCAGTGAATTGCCCCTCGGCATCACTAAAATCTCCATACACCGTGATAATTTCTTACATATTGTTAACCCCCGGATCTTCCATTCTTTGAACTGCCAACACTGGTGTTACGCCGTGGAAATACACCCTCGGGATTTTTTGTTTTTTGTTCGCAAATTTTGTGAGAGTGGAATTACGCGCGGACATTTTTTTTTTGGTCTTCTTTTTGTTCGTTGTTTACACGTGAAATATCAATCGGATGCATTTCAAATGAATCGGGCGTGTCTAGATACTACAGAATCAGTACGTTTGGTATATTAAAACAATATAATTCGTAGTTCTGGTGCAAGGCGTAACAACCAGACAGGCTTGATGGAGCCTCACTCACGAATTTGAAATGAGCCGAGCGTAGCATTTTTCATGCCTGCTGGCAAATCGATGAATTCTAAAAAAAAACTGGATGACTGGATTGGTAAACAAACTGGAAGAATCCAGTTTAAACCGGCATCACTGTTTTGTACATTTATCTGTACATTGTTTTCCGTGCTGAGCACCAATGCTACTGACACAGGGAGGCAGCTGGTGGAGTCCATCTCATAGCGCATTCCTGTATCCAGATCCTGGTAGCTCTACATTTCACGCAGGAGCTATTAGCTTTCCCGACAACTACAGCGCAGCAACGTTTTCTCAAATTAACCATGTAGTTAACGAAAATGGTCGTAGATTGGACACAGACAAACAGATGTAACTCTTTGAAAAAGTTTTTCTTGAAAACATAGTATCTCAAAACAAAGGACCTCAGTAACGACATCTCACGGGCTTCTCGTGGAAAACAAGCTTGCTCGCTAACTTGCCAACAATGTTGCATAAAAGTTCTATAGAATGTATAGAAACGTCAAAGTGATCCGATGTCAGCGTTGCGGCGAGTAGTTCGCGGAACTGATAATATTCAAATCAACCCTTAAACACCGACGAACCGACGTGACAGCTCATAGAAGCCACATTCAAATTCTTGCCCAAGACGCCATATTTAAAATACGTTAAACACTACCGCCATCTACTCATCCGATCGCGTCATATCGTAAGCAAGGACACGTACACACGTAAAGTTTATATTGACTTGGTTTGCGTCTCACCTCGTTTGACAGATCTGATCGCCCGTTTGATAGATTGAACCGCTCATTTGACAAATCGAATAGCGGACAAATGAAATGCTCCAGTGGCATGTCGGTTCGTCGGTGCCTTAAATGCGTGAACGAAGATACACAATGAAGTGTTACGTCTGTTTGTCTGTGGTTTGGACCTCTGCTTCGTGAGCACACAGGACAGGGCTCCATTAATTTCTTCGGCTCCTTGTGCACTAACTAAGCTAGTTCCACATCACCCTCCTCTAATTGTCACTGTTGAGGACAAACTCGTGCGTGATTTCGACGATTTCATATGACTTCCGTAAAGCTGATCACCGTAGCATCATAAATGTATGGGAGAACATCCTTGATCCAGATGACATTGAGGCTGCAGCGCAAACCTTTTCACATGTCTTGGCATATGTCATTGGCAGGCACGCCCCGAAAAGAACTCACCACAAAGTATCTCACCTTCCCTGCCAGACGAGAGAGCTACGCAGGTTGAAGCCAATCAAGAGAACAGCATTGAAAAGATTTACGAAGTATCGCACGCTTCCTCTGAAACTACATTATGTGAGGTTGAATCACATGTACCAGCGAATCAGTGGTGAATGCTTTTCAAGTTTCCAACGAGGCATCCAGCGCAAAGTTAAGCAACACCCGAAATCCTTTTGGAACTACTTGAACGAGCAACGCAGGGAATCCGGCCTCCCATCGTCTATAGAATTCAACGGAGAAGTTGCTGCCACCGTTCAGATACTGACGACCATAATAACCTGGCTGTCAAGAACGTTCCAGTAAATGATCAAACGCTGGGTGCAATTGATGTGATGATTTCTAAGGCCGCGACTCTGCTCAAGTCATCCTGCAATCCTGGACCTAATGGAGTTCCATCTGTATTTTTGAAGAGACAAATTGCTAGCTTGTTAATTCCGCTTCATCGCCTGTTCCGCATGTCTCTCTCAAGTGGCACATTTCCATCCTGCTGGAAATTTGCGCACATGTTTCCCGTTCAGCTGTTACATCGTTAAGTGCCGTTTCGAAGCGATTCGAGCTAGTGATTATGGAACCGTTGCTGTCCCATTGTAAGCAGTATTTGAGTGCTGATCAACATAGGTTTACTGTCGGCCGCTCTACAACCGCCAATCTGCTGTGTCTCACATCGTATATAACCGAAAGCATGTCGGATCGGGTTCAAACGGACGTTATTTTTTTCAGACCTATCCGCAGCATTCGACAAGTTATACCATGCTATTGCGATTGCTAAACTCGGCAGGCTCGGTAATCTTCTGAGTTGGTTCGGTTGCCAACTAAAGGTTGCCATAGGATATTGCAGATCAGTTAGCTTCTTCGCCACCGTTGATTTTTATAATCGGACCGTTGATTTTTATAGTATACTTCAACGACGTGCATCTGGTCATCGAAGCTCCTCGGTTATCATATGCAGATGACCTCAAAATCTTCCTACGAATCCACTCCATTGCTGACTGTCACTTTCTTCAACGTTAGCTGAATGTATTCGCTAGTTGGTGCAGTTTAAACAGAATGGTAGTGAACCAGGCCAAATGCTCCGCTATTACGTTCTCACGAAAACAACAACCGATAATATTTAGCTATGACCTGCTTGGCTCGGCAATGGATTCGCAGCATTCATTCAAGCAACACATTGCATATGTTGTCGATAAGGCGTCAAGAACTTTAGGGTTCATGTTTAGGATAGCTAAAAACTTCACCGATATCTACTGTCTATAATATCTCTATTGTTCACTTGTTCGATCGACGCTTGATCAATACAATACCAGCGGTTTGGAACTCAAACTACAACAACAGTGCCGAGAGAATTGAATCTGTTCAACGCCGCTTTCTTCATTTTACGTTGCGTAGATTGCCTTGGTCCGACCTAGAACTTCTCCGGACTAGAAGAGACACAAGCAGAGCCCTAACCGTGGCCGATATACTGCTAAAGGGTGTCCACGATGAAATTGCCACACTATGAAATTGCTCTAACTTTTTAACCGTTGGGTAGAATTTAATGAAAATTTGGGTGGATTTAGTTCATACTGCATTATTTACATCCTGCAAGTTTTAAAGTCCTGTGATCAAAACTCGCGGAAATGGAGTCGAAAGAACAGCTCGTGCGTGATAAAATCTTGCGCATTCATCACGAGAACAAGGATCTCTCGCATCGTTCCATCGCTAAAACGTTGGGAATCGCGAATTCCACAGTGTCGCGAGTGATTAAGCGGTTCGAGGAACGGTTGACCACCGATCGGAAGCCCAGAAGTGAAGGAAAAAGTATTCCGTACAACACCAAAAATCACAACCGCGTAGTTGGGGCCTTCAACCGAAATCCGAACGCCTCCGTTAGGGATGTGGCTAAGAAGCTGCACCTAAGCCGAAGTTTTGTCCAGAAGGTCAAAACTAAGGCTGGGCTTCGAACGTTCAAGGTACAAAAGGCCCCTAATCGCGACGAGAAGCAGAACAAGTCCGCCAAAACCCGTGCCAGGAAGTTGTACCTCAACATGCTGACGAAAGTTGAATGCTGCATCATGGACGACGAAACATATGTGAAGGCCGACTTCAAACAGATCCCCGGCAACCTGTTTTTCACGGCCAAGGATAAGTTCAGCGTTCCGGAGCATGTCCGCAATCAGAAGATGTCCAAATTTGCGAAGAAATTCCTGGTTTGGCAAGCCATCTGCACGTACGGGAAGCGGAGTGCACCTTTCGTGACCCAGGACACGATGAACGGACAGGTGTACATAAAAGAGTGCCTCCAGAAGCGGCTGCTTCCTCTCCTGAAGGCCCACAACGTCCCAACAATCTTCTTGCCGGATTTGGCCTCATGCCACTACTCCAAGGACGTGCTGAAGGGGTATGCGGACAATAAGGTCAATTTCGTGCCGAAAATGTTCAACCCTCCCAACACTCCGGAGCTCCGCCCCATCGAGAAGTACTGGGCGATTATGAAGCAGCACCTTCTTAAACGACCTAAGGTAGTGAAGACAGTCGAGGAACTGAAGAAAGTATGGGTTTACATGCAAAAAACGGTTGATTCACAGGTTGTGCAATCTTATGGCCGGGGTTAAGGCCAAGGTGCGGGCATTTGCGTATGGACTGTAAATAAAATACGAGTAAAATGGTAAAATGAAGTTTAATAGTTATTTCTCAATCCCTGAAAATTTGATGGCAATCGGATGAAAACTCGAATTTTGCGAATCAATTTTGTGTGTGGCAATTTCATCGTGGACACCCTTTAGGAAGGACATATTGCGAGGCTATCCTGAGGCAAATTGACCTGAATGTTCAACCCCGACCGCTTCGTAATAACCTTAGGCTAAGACTGATTCTACGTCGCACAAATGATGGAGCTTCCCTAGCAGCACACTTGTCACTTAATAGTAGTTGTTACTTGTATGCACCTTATTTCAGTCACAATCAAGTTGCAGCAACCTATTTTGATGGATCTGTGTTGCTTGGGTTACGGTGCGGTTTGGGGTTTCGTCGGCAGGAGTAACTGACTATAATATATATGTTCTTTTAATGTTTTTTTTTATGTTATGACCATGCTTGAATGCATTGTTTTACTATAGTTGATAAGGTTAACATCAATGGGGCTTCATTCAGTCTGTTGATGTAAAACAACAATAAACAAGAATAAACGGCTGCGGGAGGTAAAGTGCTCTTTCCCAATGGAAACCTTGCCAAATTGATTACTAAGCATTACGATTCATGAAACGTGTCACGCATCACAACCCTCCTCCGTTGAAGTGCTTTGAATACGAAAGTAACATAATGCTGGTTGGATCAATCAAAATGTTCAGATTGACAATTCGCATTTCGAGAGTAACAAGCAATAATCGCAGTCGAGGTGAAACACCTTGCTAGGTTCTGCCTCACGGCATGGATGCCACGTCGTTGGAATCAATGCTCAGTAATCCAGATAAAATAAAGTGATAACTAAATAATAACCATCTGCACATTCCTTACAAAAATCCGAAAATAACTCGTTTTTCCAGGATCTTGTGATGATCAAGATCATCATTTGGTCCAACCAAATTTAAAATCAACTCAATTCAGACCTCCTCATAGGCAAACATCTACTTTAACGATATTGTTCGTCAGCATAATTAACTGGATTCGATGAGAACGATCGTGTAATTTGATCCTTTATCATCGATGTAAGCGATTGACTCGGAGTGTCCAAAAATTTCAAGACCGGGACGCTCCGAGTCGATATACTTGCAGAATGAGAACGTTCGAGTTGGTGCAATTTTAATTTGTATGCTACATTAATTTGTCACTCCAGACGTCTATCTTTTTTGTTGTAATTGAAACATTGTTTCGCAATAAATCGATTCATTCTAACTCCAGATTTTGAGTAGATTTCTGTTGCTCCTAGTAACAGATAACACCGTAATCTTGCTAGGACACAAACTATCCAAAGAAAGTCAAGATCACTAGCGAAGTTGTCCACATGTCTAAATTAATGCATCCATCAGTTAAAAATTCCGCACGATTCATGAATTATAGAAAAGTGAGTCTTCAATACTATAAACGTTACAAAAGCGCCCAAGTAACATTACAAGTTTTATCAAGGTTTTACAGCATTTGTCTACGACGCATTTGTAAAACCTAAACTGTTGCTTGGGTGATGTGTTCATTATATCAAAAATTAAATGGAATAAATTACTCTGGTGAGTTATCAAAAAATAACAATACAACATGATAAAGAATTTCATTGAAATGCCTTTCCGGATGACCCGAATGGTATCACAACCCGAGCAAAGTCGGTTAACAAAATGAAAGCAAATCGATATTAAAGTTTGCAGTTCCTATCATAATGAAAACTCATTTTGATTTCAATTGTCGCGACAGAAGTCTGATATCATATTGTGCTATCATTATGCAGTCAAGACTTTTTAACTCAAAGCAACTTAACTTGAAGTTCTGCTGTTAATTTCTTGTTTAAAACTTGATTTTAGTTCATCTGTCCTTGAACTAACGATTATTGTTTATTTGTTTTGTTTAACACATTTTAGGTCATTCGTGACTAGCCCGAGGTGACATTTGAGCTCAAATCTTTCAGCGTGAGCAGCATGGATGCTAACCATTTACGACAGGCCCGTATTCAGTCAAACATTATGAATGCAAAATCAGTAATCAAATTGATTTCATTGAAAGCAGAATTAGTTTTCCGTTTGATTCAACAGTGTAAAATTTTGCTCTCATTTTTGCTGTGCTAACCGTTAAGTCAACCAAAATGAGATCAAATGGAGTATTCAAATTAAGTTACATCATAACAGCAAATTCTGATTTCAATTTGATCTCTAACTTTGCTCGGGAAACGTGTTAGATCCGAGAACACCGCAAAATCTGCTTCGACTAATATGCCTGCGAATATTGTTTCGCTGCTTGGAAAAAAGCACAGTATCTAAGAAAACCTCAATAATAATGTAGCCTAGTTCGTCTGGTTCGGTAACTATTATAGATTCCATAGATAAGCGGAGGCCCAAAACAGTTTGTTTGACAACCATGAAAAATACATGAACTTACTGGCGTTCGTGAAAAATGTTCATGTCACCATAGAGCTCTTCTTTGTGCACTTTTGTTTTGTTTTGTTTTCTTTCGTGCGCAAAAGTTCAAAATGAAGTGCAAAGCAATTTCAAGATGTATAGAAATAAGTTCATATTTTAGGATTATAGTATCGTAAACCACATTTCAAACCTCCTTCTCCCTTTTCCCATCCAAAAAATGTAAATCTCCACTAACCTCGAGACAACCGCGAGTATTCGGTCCAGTTCCTTTAACTTTAAATTTTAAATATAAGACATTAATAATGTAAATTGAAAATTATAACTCGGCTCTGTAAAGTTTATTCGATTGAGCCTGTACAAATAAAGTAATTAATAAAAAAAGTGCAAAGCAAATCTTTGCAACAATGAATCGAGGAGTGGTTTCCTTCTTTCGTTTTTCCCGAAATAAATCGGAATGTGGAAAGCGTTTTGTGGTCATAATATTACAATACTTCCCCCGCAAAAAACACCATGATAACGTCATGCTCGTTTGGCTACACTATAATAGCGATTTCGTTTATTATCGGGTGAGAAACCGAATTTTTGTCAGTGCGAACCTCAACCTGAGCTAGGTTTTAAAAACAAACGAGAAAACTGACGTTTGTCAGAAACCAAGCAGACCCAAACTTGATACCCGATCCAGGTTGGAACTGAATAATAAACGAATTCGCTATAAGTGACAGTTCGTTTGGCTACATTCTACTTTGCCTCCGCTTATCTATGGAATCTATAGGAATAATTACCCGAGAGACGGAATTCCAATTAATCTGTGAATCTGCATCGAATGATACTGTGTGACAAGTTGTCAAATGAGATTATGATTTTCGCGAGTTTAAAGAGAACATATAATAATAGTTAGTTACCAAAAGCAAAAAAAAAAAAAATAGAAATTGTAAATATGGCAGTTATTTTAAGGAAGAGATTCAGTAGATTTGTCCTGGCAGCCTTCATCAACTATCGTTCTATTTTTTTTTTCAATCACATACAACCATTTTTCTCTTATGGGCATACACTCTAAACTGTATTGTTCTACTATTATAAAATGTTACGTACTAGTTTCATTTTTCATCAAATTTCATTTGCTCCGATCCAGACAAGCATTTTGCTCAGTAATCCTTCTTCTACCTTTTCCGACTATGTAACTGTTTTCGCTAACCTATTTAGCCTAACTCTGTATCCGGTGATGGAAATTCAGAATTTCCATCCTATTCATGCGAGTGTGCCAACATCTTTCCACTAAGCAACACTCTGTGTGAAAAGAACTGAAATCTCTCCTAGAGGAAACGTAAAACAATGATAAGAGCGAAAATAAATTACACCGTGCTATCGCGCCTACGAAAAACTGTTCTGCAGTTTACCAATAATCAACAAATACTTGTGGCGAATGCTTTGGAAGGTCACTCGAACGGAGGCGAGAGAAACCGAAAACTAAACCGCTAATAATAATAATCAACAGAAACCACCCGTTTGTATGAACCGCGCTTCTCCGGCCAGTGTCCCACTACTGGAGCATCAGTGCCGATAGGTTTCGCTGCAGGATCGTGTCCTTGACCGAGCTGAACACGACCTGAATGTTCTGGGTGTCGACCGCATTGGTGAAGTGATGATAGATGGGCGTTTTGGTATTCTTGCGCACGTTCATGAACATCTGCAGGATAAAGTTCTGCACGTCCAGAATCGAGTGCGGATTGCCGGTGAACTGCGGATAGTACCAGCGGATGTCGGTGTCCGGGTTTTTGACCTTCTGCGCCAGCAGGTCCGTTTTGTTCAGGAATAGGATAATCGAGATACCGTGGAACGTGGTGTTGTTTACAATCGTGTCGAAGATATTCCGGGACTCCTCGAGACGATTGGTTTTCCTGTTGGAAGCGAAGGCGGGTTTAGTGAATTATGTAGCATATAATTGAGAGGCCAATGGGCCATGCTTACCTGTCCTCTGCCAGGACCTGATCGAACTCGGGCGTTGAAACTAGGAACAGGATCGACGTCACCGAACAGTCGAAGCATTTGGTCCACTTTTGCCGTTGCGTCCGCTGGCCGCCAACATCGACAAACACGAATGGAATGTTCTGCAAGGGATTATTCAAATGGACCGAGACGTTACAGCTTGGATTGATTATCAATTTGCAGTAAGCACATTTATTACCTGTATTCTAATTGTAAATTCAAATACACCCTTGGTTGCTTTGCGACAGTGCAGTATATCACGATGTGTGGGAACGTAGTCTAACCTTGATATCCGGTCTAATTCGTCTAAGAAATAACTAACAGAATCACTCTGTAAGGAAGAAAGAGAAACAGAAATTCGATTAAAGAATTGCATTAAGAACTTGATACGAATTTTGATCCAAAGAGTCTTTGAATGCTGAACCGCAAAAACAGAAAACGAACATAAGAAGGGCGGAACCAGTTTGTTGACGGTGCTGGTGGTGTAATTGGATCTGCATGTTAGCGCCCTTAATTAATCTTGCATTGGTGTTAAACTGTTTCCATGGATCGGGTCTACGGCCAGTCGTCGCGTCGTGGCGGGAGACTCGAAGCATTATTATTTCGAGAAATCGTACGATTTCCATATGCACTTAAAATTAAGCAGAGCAGCAGCAACAGCTACCTAGCGTAAAACATTCATTCATAATCGCTGCTCAAATAAGGTGGCGGTCGTCGGTGGCAAGCAAGCACAGGTTGATGCAATTCAAGTGTCGCATTAGTACACGCGAACCGTTACACCTAGATATCTGTTCGTACACATACGACGGGCTTGTTATGGATTTTAGTTGAAATTGCTTGATCCCACTTGTAAGAATCTCCCACGCGCAATATCGAACGCCCTAATGGGATTTGCTAGCTCGTCGTGTGCTATGGTGTGTGGTGCAATACGGTATGGAAACGTGGGACTTACTGAGTACCGGGCATACATTGGAGATTGGTTGGAAACTTAGACGGAGATTAAATGGATAATTGAACTGAGATATGAAAACGCCAAAGCTTGGGCACTTTTATTGCTGCTTGACAGTTGGTGTGATTGGAATATAATACATAAACGTAGGTACCATTAGTCGCATGTTAAGCTCATTATCGAGTTCAATTGAGAATGGTGGGTTCTACTGCTGGTTTTTGTAATAAAAGATTCTGGGTCATTAAGTAGAATGTCTACCGTAGAACTATTATAGATCGAATGATTACTACGACGAACATTGAATCCAAGTTAAAAATTTCTAAATTAAAACCATGTTCCAAATGCAGGGATGTTCAAAGATCTTCAAAATTTGATCCGCGAAATCCGCGACAGATAAAAAACTGTTACCTTAAAATACCATTTGTATTACTACTACCTACATGGCATTTTAAGCTTATTGCTTATAGCATATTTTGCTAGCTCTCAACTTAGTGTTTTTGAAGCGTTTCCACATTTTGATTGAGAGCTTTATATGCCTGTACAATCCTATACCCAAGGAATACGCGACATTTTCCATCCCGAAAAATTAATAGACCGGACGGGAAGCGATCCCAGCTTCCTCCAGCATACCCTTGGGCACCCTTGTCTAGCAAAAAAAAAACGCTTCATGTGAGGCCGTTTTGCAGCAATTTCGGCCTTCAACCGCTCCAATAATGCACAGTAATACTCGCTGTTGATGGTTTTTCCTTTTTCGAGGTAGTCCACGAAGAGTCCCAGAAAACCGACGTCATAACTTTTCCGACCCATCATGCTTCCCTCGGCCGCCTCGGAGCACTCGTACCGGCTTCAGTCCATTGCCGGGCACTCATTCTGTTCTCTGGGGTGTATAATAGTGGATCCAGGTTTCATCAACAGTTACCAATCGACGCCTAAAGTCCGCCCGATTCCGCATCAGCAAGTGCAAACACTCTTTCGAAGTGCTCTCGCGTTCGTGTTTTTGGTCAGGAGTGAGCTTGCGTGGCACCTAGCGGCAGGATAACTTTTTCATGTGCAGAATCTCGCCCAAAATATGGGGGGAGAGGTAGCTCATCGATTCTTCCGGTTCGCCTCCTAGCATCGTGCTATAAGGTACCAGACGATAACCAGGGTAGTTGATCGATAGCTCGATGACGTCATTTCGTTGGCGTCTGCAATGGGAAATTCTCATAGCAGGGGAGACTTGGTCCTGTACCCAATGCATAACTTATCTCCATTCCACTCAGCTACTCGCAATTTCTTGTGATATAGTGGGCGGAATATTATTATATGACATTTGACTCATATAATAATATTCCGCCCACTATATCACAAGAAATTGCGAGTAGCTGAGTGGAATGGAGATAAGTTAAGCATTGGGTACAGGACCAAGTCTCCCCTGGGTGGTGCCAGAAGATGAGCGCAATAGAATCATCAAGTTGCCATAAGGCACGGAATGAGACTATTGCATGGCTGGGTAGTCAAAGTCTTCCATTCGTTAGTCATTTCAGGTGGATTAGAACAGGTTTAGGTTTAGGGTGGGCGTTGGTCAGATTTGGATTTTTCAGATGTAATCCTGGATAGGACCCTGTCATTGAACGTCACGTGAAAGTGGAACTTAATGAAGGCCGAAGTACTTTTTCGTAGTTTTTAGTTTTCGGATTTGAAAGATCGTCGGTTACAGTGGCCTGCTTACTGAGCAGAAAAACGCGGTCCCAGGTCCTTACATATCAAAGATATTTATGGTAAAATCGCTTGTGTATCGTGTATTTTGCGAAACTCGTTGTTGTCGTTGGTTCCGGGTTTGAATGGATACACATATTTGAGCAACGGTATTATGTGATATGAGGGGCTCGGTGGCCTTACAGCAACCGTTTTTGCTTACTGAGCAGAACATCATGAGTCTAATTTCAGGCCCATCCACATTCAAGATTCGTCAATCGTTTTATTTGTTAATATGACTACATGGTGATAACAGCAACTCGGTGATTAAAAAGGTGCTCGTCTGCCTAGTGGCAAACGTTTTTGCTTACTGAGCAGAAGACCGTGGGTTTAGTCCCAAGCTCCTTCGCGTTATATGATCGTTAGGACATCAATTCATCTTATCGTTTACCAAAACGAACCCTGCTGCAAACCCAACCCTCTTATCCAACATCCCAGTGATTCCTCGTGGAAGTGCAGAGGTGTTCTCGGCTTCCATCAAAGCGAGTCATGTCAACACAATCCTTCCCATTCCTTTCTTGACCTGTGTTCAGGCGCGGCCGGCGCTGGTATTGCCTAATTTAAGATCACCAGTTTTTACACATTGAGGATGATTGCTAGTCCCAAGCATCGTCTATTGGTTCTCTGTGTAATTACAGCTGATCTGGCAGTAACAGAGTAGCAACCGTGGGCGGTCAATCAAGCTCAAGCTCAAGCTCAAGCTGCAGAATCTCGCCCAAAATATGTCATGTGCGCTCAGTACTAATCTCTGCGGTATCTGCTAGCTCACGCACCTTCACTTTCCGGTCAGTCAACACCATTTCATGTATTTTTTTGACATTGTCCTCTGTAACCGCATCGGAGGGTTTGCCGCTGCGGACTTGATCAGTAGTGAAGTTGCAGCCACCACGAAACGCTCGAAACCAATATTTGACGGTGTTATTTGACGGAGCATTAGCCCCATAATATTTATCCAACTTTTCTTATGTTTCCTTCGCCGTTTTGTCTCTCAAAAAATAATGTTTTATGAGAGAACGAAAATCGTTTTTATCCATACCCAACATCAGCTGTCAAAACAAAACTAAAGACAGTATCGCACAGACATTTGGCATGTCTGCCTAAATATGAACGAACTACAAGGCACCATAACCTATTTTGCAATAGCAGCGCATTTTGGTGGTCAAGGAGGTTACTTTTCACCCCACCTAGTAAGGAAGTGTTCCATTTCAAATGACGATTTTTTTTTAATTTTTTGATCGACCTTCTACGATTATGTTGAAACTTTGCACAGGTGTTTGTTATTGTTCAACATGCCATTTTACATATTTGGTCCCCTAGTTTTGTACACGATGAACACTTGAAAAGGGCTTACGCAAAAATGATACGCATCAATAGAAAAACATATATCTTGCGAACGATTTGTTTGATTGAGATGGTGTCTTCGAAGAAGTTGCGGACAAGTATTGTGCCCTTCAAGAAAAAAATATACACTGTAAAAAATTATATATTTTTTACAAAAAAAAAAAATCAGAATTAGGCCGGAACAAATATCAAGTTTTTCTTTTGTCAACCCCCTTCCCCCCCCCCCCCCCCCCCTTCAAAATTTTGGAATATCACCAAGGGGGAAATAAAACAAAACTTTCAGTGTATATTGATTTTTCGCAAATTCATTTGGGTATGGATACTCGTTTTGCTAGATTTTATTATGTTGTTGTTGTGGTTGTTGTATACCCTTGTTCTTTTAAAGAATTTTCACATAAATTGGTACTTGACCAGTACGGCATGACAGGTCCTTGAAGTCGGATCAGCCGGTGTCAGTTGTTGAAAATGGATTTTATCGAACATCATTCCTAATCTTGTTTGGCAACTCACTAGGTAAGCCACCTTCAATCTGATCGATCCCTCTTGTTCGTTGCGCACATCTTCATCTTGTTCTAGTCGGCTCACTGTCATGAATCATTTTCATTGGGTCGTTATCCGACATTATAACGATGTGCCCAGCCCACCGTAGTCGCCAGATTTTTGCATTCGATCTACATTTCTTAACTTACAAACCTTCTGCAATGATACTTAATGATTCACTTCTTTTCTACAGTGACTCAATAATTTTCGAGCTAAATCCAATCTTTTCAAAATTGGTTTAAAATTTTTAGAAGTGAGACCAAATCAGAAACGATTCAGGAAATTCCTAAGTGAGGTGACACTTTTCAAAGCAGATTCAAAACTGAGTCTGACCTTTTTTGAAGTGAGTTCAAACGAAAGAATAAGTCATCAATATTTTTCAAACTTTCCTGAAGTGATTCAACATATTCCAAATCCAATCTTTAAAGAATTGGTTTCGCATTTTCTGAAGTGAGGCAACATTAGCTGATTAATCCTTTTTCTAAATGAATCCAAGGTTTCCTGTATTGATTCAACTTTTTCCGAACTGAAACCAAACTAGTCAGAACGGGTTTGATATTTTCCTAAGTGAGCTCCAGATTTTTGTTAACTGCTTTGGCATTTGGCAAGTACACAATCTTGCTTAGTGAAAGTGTAGATAGTTTTCCGAAGTGAACCGACAATTTTTTTAGATTAAATTTTCCAAATGGTGTTCAACCTTTTCTGAAGTGGTTCAAAACCTTCCTTAGGGAGTCCAAACTTTTCTGTTGAGTGATTGAATTATA